ATTTTTTACTAGATGAAATAAATTCTGAAGCCCAAGTAAAGCATCATTAGCTCTGGAGTATGCTGTATTTATGGATATACCTGGTTTCTATTTTCAACATGTAGATAAATCAATCAGTGGCTTATATTTATAAAGTCCTAAAATGTTAACTGGTTTATAAATACAATGAAACTTGTTGTAAATGTCATCTTACATGTGACAAAAATGAGTGGCTGTACTAGGGGAGTTTCTTGTACAAAATATTTTTAAAGCAGTTGGGAGCAGTGCTTTAGACTAGCATTCCTAGTTCTTCTATGTGGGAATATCTTCTGTAACTTGTTTTACTGAGACATTCATGAAGGTTGGGAACCACCTTCCCAACCTTCCCAGCAGTTCAAATGGATGCTTTAAATATGATACACAATGCAATTTTAAGGAAAAACCCAGAGTAATGGAGGAGAACTGAACATCATAATAGTGGGAAAGCATAAGGAAGGGCTGCTCTTCTATTTATCCATGATGAAGAAGAATTCTGTCAAGATGCAACTGTTTCAATATGTCTGTAACTATATGCAAAAATCAGCACATAAAGGGGAAGTGCTACTGTGGATAAATTAGAAACATTTCTCATTATTCTAGTATTGCTGGAAGTAAAAGTGTTAATATAATAAGTTACCTCAGGATCGCTTTATTTCTATTAATGTTACAGAAAATACAATTACAAGTATTCATCCAATACTGAGTTTTTTAAACTGAGAACTTTGGGCTTCTATAGAATACATATAAATAACTGATTTATAAAAAGGTGTTCATATTTTTAAAATTAAGGCCATCTTTTAATGTACATCTGTGAAAATGAAGTGTTGCATAATCACAATTTGTAACAGAATAAAAATTCATTTTTCTACACAAGCTTCATATTTGGGACAGATACTTGTCATTTTTAGTTCTGTAGTTAATTCATGGAGAGAGGTAATGATTTGTTGTAAGTCACACACACACAAAAGCAATTGAATATTCTTACTGCTTAATTTATTTTTTTTTCAATTAAGTCCAGTTTAAAAACCTGTCTATTTTTAAGCTACTGTTTACAAACACTACATAGCCCTATTTTTATGGTTCTGTGGTCAGCACAATACTGACTCACAGAGTAGTCACTGTGCCTGATGTTAATAATGAGTAAACAATGTCCACAGTAATTAATGTCTGCAGGCACAAGTCTTAGGTTATAAATTGTTTTGGATTTGCAGTACATAATCCATAAGAATATGTAAGGTCAGTGAAACTTCTTTTTTGCTAGCAAAGAATTCTTACCATTATCAGGAGACCCCTAGAGTCCAGAAACACAAGGCTGTAGTAGGAGAGAAGGAAATAAATTTCATCATTGCATGCCTGATTGTAAGCTCTACCAGTAAAGGGTCTTCAAGAAAATTGAAGGACAGTGATGCTTCCTCTGCTTCCTCTGTTAGCATTCCAGTTCATCCATAAAAGATGTTGATGTATAAGTGCACTGTCCATCTTACCCAATTCATTATTTCTGCCTTAACGATAGTATAGTCAAGATGTTTCAACTATTTGTCATAGCTCAAATTTCCTATACTGCCAAGCATAACATATAAGTCATAGGGAGGATTTCTCCACCTGAAGCATGTATGTTCTGTATGAAGTTCAAATCTCAACATGAATCTGTGGCAAGCTTAACAACTTAATCGACTTTCAGAGGTTGATATGGCTCTGTCTACGAAGTTTTTGTAATTAGCAAAAGGTAAGGCTAGCTGTGTGCATAGGAGATGCAGCTTCTCCACTGATATTGGCACAATCTTTCAAACCACTTCCATGACATACACTTGCTGAACCTGAAAATCTGTGCTTCGTGGAAGACTGAGACCTGCAGAGACACTGGGAAAATCAGTTCTGAAATTAAAAATCAAATCCTGATTCCCAGATAAAGAAGTGTGTGTACCCTGGACCATATAAAATATTGCAAACAGGATAATTGTGTTGTCCTTTGTTGTTTGTTTGTTTTGTAACAGGTCCTCAGAGGATTCCAATGTTCCTCAAAAACAACATGAATTTTCTTGGGTAGCTGGAACATTAGGCCTCTCATGATCAGTGGCTGGTGAATATTGGTGAAGAGTTTGCTTTTAATTTGTCTCCTGAGCTTGCTGAGCACTGAGAAGCATCCCAGCTTTTGGAAGTGTCTATAATGCCTGCTGTGATTCAGCCATTAGAAATTCAGCATAATTATTGTTTTCTGGCAACGTGACTGAGTTTGATTTTTTTTTTTCATCCAGTTTGGGACACACTGATTAACTAATGTCATCTGAGAAAAATATTTCTGGCTTACATTCTTAAAAATGGCTGCCCCATACACTAAGTAATCGAGATCTTGCCAGTCTGCTTTCTGTATGGAGACTGTTACTTTTTTGAAGCAACTTTCAGCTGCTGTATTACAAATCCAAAGTGTCTTTACTGAGCACTTCTGATATGTTTAGAACAAGGCATTCTCAGGTGTTGGTAGTTAATGGACCACATATAAGTTTTGACTGTAGCTCAGCTGGGAGACAGTGAGTTAAATTCTAATTCCAGAGAAACATAGAATTGGTGGGAGCTGTGGTCAGCTGTCTCTCCAATGGCTCCCACGGTCATATGGGAGCTGCTTCACTCTTCACGATGTCAGAAGAAAAGGCGGAGAGCAGGCAAGAAGGAAAGATATTCTAGCCTACTTTTGGCTGCTTTGATTTCCAATGCGTGACCTACAATTCTTTAATTGCTGAAAGTATTGGAAGTGTGAAAAGACGATCTTGAGGGCTACAAGCCAAACTATCATATTGTAAGGCAGATGTAGAATATATCTTGCAGGTGGGAGACATGGGTTCAGGTTCTCTCCAACAAGGAAGATTTAATTTAAGCCATCAGATCCGAGCTGTGTTTTCCACTGAGTGTCCTATTTGACCAGTTAAGGTGAATCACTCAAATGGCTGCTTCCTCTAGTGTTTTCTTTCTTTTCCTTTTTTGCATGCTGTATCTTACTTTATTATTCAATCAAATGTTTGTTTGCTTGTTTGTTTCTCCTTTCCATAAATAGTTTAAATAAGTACATTGTGAGAGGAATAAACCTGAAGGAATAAACCTGAGGAATAAACCATAAGGATGTTGGGGAGGGTCTCTTTGTTAGGGACTGTAGTGGTAGGACAAGGGGTAATGGATTTAAACTTAAACAGGGGAAGTTTAGATTAGATATGAGGAAGAAGTGCTTTACAGTGAGGGTGATGAGGCACTGGAATGGGTTGCCCAAGGAAGTTGTGAATGCTCCAACCCTCACGGTGTTCAAGGCCAGGTTGGACAGAGCCTTGGACGGCATAGTTTAGTGTGTGGTGTCCCTGTTCATGGCAGGGGGGTTGGAACTAGATGATCTTAAGGTCCTTTCCAACCCTGACTATTCTATGATTCTGTAAGTTATTTTTAATTTTTTTGAGCTTGTCAGCTTTTGTGTGCACCACTCTTTCTATTACCTGGTGATTATACTTGTGGTGATGTAGAAGAGCAATTGGGTGGGGCAAATAAATCATTATCACCTACCTATCTATAGCTTCCATATATTAAAAACTTCACAGATGTCCTGGGTTCAGCTACAGGAGTCATTTTTTCTCCTTCTTAGTAGCTGGTGCAGTGCTGTGTTTTTGACTTTAGTCTGGGAACAACGCTGATAACACAACGATGTTTTTAGTTGTTGCTAAGTAATGTTTACTCTGACCAAGGACTTTCTCAGTCTCATGCTCTGCCAGGGAGGAGGGGAAGCCAGGAGGAAGCAGAGACAGGACACCTGACCCAAACTAGCCAGAGGGGTATTCCAGACCACAGCACATCATGCCCAGTATATAAACTGGGGAGAGTCACCCAGAAGGCCCAGATCGCTGCTCGGGTCGGGCTGGGTATCAGTCGGTAGGTGGTGAGCGGTTGTGTCCTCTCCCCTTGTTATTTCCCTTATCATTATTATTGTTTGTGGTAGCAGTAGTGGTTTTGTATTATACCTTAGTTACTGGAGTGCTGTTATCTCAGCCCATGGGAGTTACATTCCTTCGATTCTCCTCCCCATCCCTTTGGGAGCAGGGGGAGAAAGAAGGGAGGAAGGGGGGGAGTAAGAGAGCAGCTGTGTGTTTCTGAGTTACCAGCTGGGCTTAAACCATGACAACAGAATAAACGCAGGGCTGACAAATTATCAGGAAAAACAATTGTGGTATATAAAAGACTTGGAATATTTTCCTTATTTTTTTCATCAGTTCTGATGTTAATGAAGAAGTCTTGGTAGGGGTCTGTAATTGCCTCATTTTTTGTAAAATATTACAGTTTTGAGAAAAAATGTTTAGTCAGTCTCTTGCATTCCCTCCCTCTGCTTCCGTTATGCACTTAAAGGCTTTTACTTTCTGCTAGGTGAAGTGCCCAAAAGCCAAGGGATTTAAGCAGGGCTGCTTAGTTCTGCTTCTAGGTTAGTGTCAATTACACCTCTGGGAAACAACTGTTTCTGCTACTGGTCTCTGTAATGGTTACGTTCAAAATGGCTTATGTCATCATGTCACCAACTTCATGTCAGACAGACATGCTTCAAAACAGGTACCAGGACTGAGCACGCTGGTTTGCAGTGACAAGCAAATAAGCAGAATAATATCCTAATATATTTCTGTTTTCTGCATTTCCATTTCATGATTTTTTAGTCAAAATATGTGTGTATCTTACCTTTGACAGGATACTGCTGTGTAAAAAATCACCTGTTAACAATTTATATCTTTGTGACTCACAGTGGAAATCTTGTTATTTATCAAAAGAAATGTAACATTATGAAAGAACTGAAAAATATGGTGTTGCTTTGGTTGTCTCCATAATACAGAATTTTTCTTACGGTGCTTTTAAAAATTTCTATGACTTTAAAGGCTTGAAAATAATATCCTTATGTGGCTTTCTGTTACTTCAGCTTATACATACAACAGTGAGCATATAGTTATTGTTTTATTTCTTCATAGATATTTCATTGATCATAACACAGAAGAAGACAGGTATTTCACCATTGATGCTAATACTGGGACCATTAAGACTGCCAAGATCTTTGACAGAGAGGAGACGCCTTGGTACAACATCACAGTGGCTGCTTCTGAGATAGGTAAGTAACATATTTTGCACATAGTACTAAAAAGTCGAAAACAATACAAAACAAAACCCCAAACAGAAAGAAGAATAATTTTCAGATTTTAAGAAACACTATCTTGAGATATTATTTTTTTAAATGTCATTGTGTTTTTATTGGGTTTTTAGCCATTTTGGATGAAAGAGAGTTTTCTCTGTGTGTAGAAATTCCTTAATTCTACAGAACAAGTAAACAAACCCCCACATGTCTATAAAATTCCATCTGTGTAAATTTACTATGTTTTTCTGTATGAGATAGAAGGTTGACAGTTTACTCAGGAACAGTTCCAAGCATTCAGTGTCGTAATACCAACAGCTTGTCACGTTTGTGTTTGCAAAACTAAAGACCAGTTTTAGCTAAGACTAAAGCTAAAAAATAGGTCAGGGGCTATTTTTAGCAAATATTACCAAATTTTTACCAAAATGTTATTCAGCTGTGAGAGCGGCAGTCTTCAAGTTCATCTGACATGGTAAGAAGGCATTTGTAGCTTCCGTCACCAGTTGCTTAGCCAGGAACATAGCAGAATCTGCAAGGCCCAGTAAGATTGTACTGCTTCAGTAGTAAGATGTGCTTCAGTTATGGTTATAGTTAGTTTCTTGAAGTGTTTTCCTGTCTTAAATTTACGCTACATTTCACTGACAAGATTCAGTTTCTACTGATCATTTTTTGGACAGCTATTTGGACATGTGCTTGTTTTATGCAAAAGAAATTTAGAATCAATATCATATTTCTACCTTAAAATGTATGATATCTTCATGCTTCAGCCTTATTATTTCTGAACCTTTCATATGACATTTACTTTCACTTTTACACTTGGTATGTGATACACACTGCATTGATCAAATTTCCCCTCTGAAATCACAGGGAGTTCTACCACTTTTCTCTGTGGAAGTAATGATGTAATGATCAGTGGGGTTTTTCTGTTCATGCAGCTACTTATAAAGCACACCAGAATTCATTGCCATGAGAATGGGTGGGGGAATCCTTTTTCTTTTTAACAGGCACTGTTCTTTAACAGCAGCTTACAGTGAGGCAGAGTGGGATTTTGGTGACCAGGGCACATCACTGGAGCTATTGCTTTGATTGTTTCAGTACTGGTACTTCCTGAAAACTCCTTGTGGTATTAGGGAATAATAAAAATTATAAAATACTGTATTTTATATTGAAGGATCTATAGACTATATTTAGGGCAGGAGAAAAGACTACGAATTGATGGTAATAGGATTTTAAAATACAATTTCACAAAGAATTATTCACATTTCAATCACTTACTATAATTCTGTGAAAAAGTTTATGAAAGAGTATGGCATATTGAAAAATGTGGGATCTGAGCATGACGTGAATAGTATGGAATAAGGGGTGGATACTGCCCTGGGTTCAGCTACAGCAGTCATTTTTTCTCCTTCTTAGTAGCTGGTGCAGTGCTGTGTTTTTGACTTTCAGCCTGGGAACAACGCTGATGATAACACCGATGTTTTTAGTTGTTGCTAAGTAATGTTTACTCTGACCAAGGACTTTCTCAGTCTCATGCTCTGCCAGGGAGGAGGGGAAGCCGGGAGGAAGCAGAGACAGGACACCTGACCCAAAGTGGCCAAAGGGGTATTCCATACCACAGCACATCATGCCCAGTATATAAACTGGGGAGAGTCACCCGGAAGGCCCAGATTGCTGCTCAGGTTGGGCTTGGTATTGGTTGACGGGTGGTCAGAGGTTGTGTCCTCTCCCCTTGTTATTTCTCATATAATTATCATTAATATTGGTAGCAGTAGTGGTTTGTATTATACCTTAGTTACTGGAGTGCTGTTATCTCAGCCTGTGGGAGTTACATTCCTCCGATTCTCCTTCCCATCCCTCTGGGAATGGGGTGAGGAAGAAAGGGGCCAGTGAGTGAGTGGCTGCGTGGTTCCAAGTTGCCGACTGGGCTTAAACCATGACAGAGAGTATTTGAAAGAGGAAGGAGATAATAGATAGAATTTGCTTCGCTCTATTAAAGGCTTTTGACCAAGTCTTTAACAAGAGCAATGGAAATAGGAAAATACAGAGCAAGTGCACAAAGTTTTGTAACAGATGAGAAACTGAGGAAAGAAATGCAGTCATAGTGAACGGTTGCTCCTTTGGGAGTGGAAGAGGTTAGTGTTGAACTGTTTAAAGGACTGGTGTAGGATCTGTCAATTCAAATTCTTTGTAATGATAGCACACAATGAGAGGAAGTGATTCAGATTCCTAAATAACCTCCCTAGCTGTTAAGAATTAAGGAGGATTGAGAGAAACTCATGTAAGAACAAGACACATGAAAGTATGGGCTAGATAAATGAATGACAAAGTGGACTGAATATTGTTTGAAATTACAGGCTCAAAGGGCTATAATCAGCAGCCCAAAGTGCAGATAGAGGCTCATCACTAGTGGAATATCCCCAGGGGTTGATACTGGATACAATGCTGTTTAATCTCTTCATTAATTACCTGGTTGATGAGACAGAGTGCACTCTCAGCCAGTTGGAAAATTACACACAATTGGAGTTACGGCTGATACACCAGGTCATGCTGCCATCCCAAGGGATCTTAACCAGCTGGAGAAATGGTTGAAGAGGAACCTTGTGAAGTTCAGTAATAGGACATGCAGATCCCAGCAGCTGGAGAGGAATAATCCCATGCACCAGTGCACATGCACCGGCCAACTGGCCAGAGAGCAGCTTTTTAAAAACAGATGTGGAGGTCCTGGTGGATGCCAGCTCGACATGAGCCAGCAATGTGTCCTTGTGGCAAAGGCGGCCAACTGCATCCTGAAGTTGTGTGTGAAGAAGAGTGTTGCCAGCAGGTTGAAGGTGATCCTTCCCCTCTATACAACACTGGTGAGGCCACATGGAATTCTTGATACAGACGTGAGGTCCCCAGTACAAGAGAGTCATGGAGCAGCTGGATTGAGTCCAGTAAAGAGGCATGAAATCATTAAGAACTGGAGTATCTGTCATACAAGGAGAGACTGAAAGAGCTGGGACTGTTCAGCCTGGATATGAGAAGGCTCAGAAGGAGAGTAAAGAAGATTTAAGATGAGCAAAGATGAGCAAAGACGCATCTGAGTATTATCTATTGAAATGACAGGAGGACATATGCCCAAATTGAAATACAGAAAATTTTATTTAAACATAAGAAGAAAAATGGTTTTACTGTGGGATTTGTCAAAAATTCACACAGGTCACCTAAAGAGGTTGTGGTGTCTCCATTCTTGATGATACTCAAAACCCAACTGGACATAGCCCAGAGCAATGCACTAGTTGCACTGTTTGACCCAGCTTTGAGCAGCGCAGTTGAACTTGCTGATCTATGGAGGAGCCTTCTAACCTCTATAATTCTGTGATTTTGTGATACTGGGAAGTGTATGTTGAATGTGGAGAAAAATAGCGATGCATTCTTGAAGAAAATAGGTAGTTGTAAAAATAATTGTGGGTTATTTAATAAACGTTTCTCTCTAGCGTGTATTAGTGCTGGTAACAAGAGCAAAAGGAACAATAACAGCAAAACCCTAAATCATAGCACCTGCAAGAAAAAGATGGCACTAAAATATAAATGAATGGACTTCTGCCACTTTCAAAGCTGATTTCAGTTAGTAAAATACATATGTGCTTCAAAGTTCTCAAAGCAGTGCTGCAAACAGAACAAATAATAGTATCTTTGAAGTCTTTGTCCTCAATAAGAAGGAATAAAAGCTGCGGGGAGTAAAACACTCATGATTGAAGGAATCAGAGAATGTCTTTGTTTGGGAATGAAAGTGAGGATCTTAGCTTTCAGTAGACATTTCTACTTAGAAATATAGTAAGGAAGACTCTATCAGGAAACTCCTTTTAGATATTAATTGTGACAACTGAACTGTGTTCAATATCTGCTCAGTAGATGGAGAGCAAACCATCTTTTAGATGCAGCTTTCAGATGATATTAACATCAAGAGATTACTGGATCCATAAAGTACTGGACATTAATATTACTAATAAGAAAATCTGTGGTTGTATAAGACTTGATTTTTTGAAAGCAAATGCTTATTTTTCAGAGATCTTAAAGATACTTTCTATTGGGAGTTTTTCACATATTTCTCTTATGCAGCTGGTAAGTATACCAGAGTGTAAACCATATTTATTTGCTAGATCATCAATCATTTTGGGATGAAGTAGTGGTGGTGCTGAATGTCTTCAAAATGCTCTACAATGGCTGAGAACAGAAAAGCAGACAATTTCCAAATACTTAACTAAAGAACCAACTTGAATGCAAGGAAAGCACAAACTTGCCTTTAGAGTGTCCATAGAGTTCTAAATCTGCACAGCTGTGTAAAGGCTGTGAAGAACAGGAAAACTGAAATACCATGGTTTCTGCCGTGTTCTGTCAGATCCCCACTGACTTAAAGAAATGCTAGCAAGAGACAGTAAGAAATGACCACATGAAAGAATATTGCACAGACAAAGCTTTGATACCATAGTGTATTAGAAATCAAAATACTTGAGACATCATTATGCAATCGATTTTATAGACAAAAATCTCCAAGGCTATCAGATACAATCAGATAGGGCGGGGGAACAAAAACCAAACCAAGACAAAAACCCCAAATATATTTGTCTTTGTTTATGTCTTCTGTATGTGCTTCACCATGTATATGCTTCATATGAGCTTCAGAGAATAAGACACTAAAGTGCTGAGTTAGAGCAATACCTCATTGACAAAATACAAAGTACCCTGTGATGTGGTATTGAAAGGATCCCAGGAAAACAGTTACTGCCAAAAATACACAACAAAAAATAACTTTCAGAGGTCAATAAACCCTGATCAGAATTAAAATATGTGAAAAGGCAGGACATTTCACAATAATAAGAGTTTGGACCAGTTAGTTTGCGAGAATGAGAATAAAAACATTAAGGTGCATGTCCAAATTATAACAGCAGCTTTTCCATCAGTAAGTTTCAATAGAAATAAAAGCAGTGAGATGTAAACAGTTCAGAGGAAAACACAATGCATAGAGAGAAATAATAATTTGCAGCAGTGACATACAAAACGCCTTGAGATTTTGAATAAATATTGAAAGCCCTAGAATTACATTAAATAAACAGATGAAGTATATAATTATAGTGAGGTGCAATTATATCTTTTCTTTAGGTGCATAAGGATGTTGCCACCTCATATTTCCATCAGGGAAGAGCAAGTTATGAAAAGTATTTGCAAATTCTTTGTCATGTTTTATGGTTGCAGCCTACCAGTACCTAGATGGGGCCTACAAGAAAGTCCCTATGGACGGGGACTTCTTACAAGGGCATGTAGTAACTGGGTGAAGGGGAATGGCTTTAAACTGGAAGAGGGTAGATTTGGATTAGATATTAGAAAGAAATTCTTTACTGTGAGAGTAGTGAAGCACTGCAACCTCACCACTTGCCCAGAAAAGTTGTGTCTGTCCCATCCCTGGGAACTGTTTAAGGCCAGGTTGGATGGGGCTTTGAGCAACGTCGTCTAGTGAAAGGTGTCCCTGCCCATGGCAGGGGGTTGGAACTAGATGATCTTTAAGATGCCTTCCAACCCCAACTATTCTGTGATTCTGTAATTATTGTACTGATTAAGATCGGTATTTAATATTGATGATGCAAAAGCATAGACATTCTCTCTCATGCTACGCTAGGTGAAGATTTTTTGTTCTAAGTCTTAAAAACATGTAAAAATACTCAATATTTTGGAAAAATACTCTACTCAAAATAGTTCAGGCTGTCTCTGGGTTAAATTGTTCACTTTTCATAATATATGTTTAACCATAGCAGTCTAACTTATAAAAAAAGGGGGGGGGGGGAATATAAAAGCACAAAAGACTTCTAATGTCAGGATTGTTATTCTGAATGTCATTCAGGTGGAATTTATTTAGATAAAGCCCATTTGAATTTTGATAATATGAAAGGAAGTCTTGGACAGCAGTAGTTGTATTAAAAAGCTTCCTTCTGAAATAGGTGTTTTAAAGTTTGCCCACAGAAATCAATGGAAAAGAAGATTCAAGACTTGAGACTGGCTATTGGTAGGGACTTCTGGAAGTTCCCCAAGGACTTTCTGGTGGAGGGGCTAATACTCAATGGAGTTGATTCACTTACAGATATTTAGTATCTTGGCAAATAACTATTTGTTGGGAAAGTCTCAAGCATAAGGAAGGAAGTCCCTAGTGTAGCTGAATCACAGTGATATTTCTGCTTCAGTTACCCCTTTAAAACAGTGAGCATTCACTTTGAAAAATCTGCTCCTGAGGCATAATCCTACTAGGACACAGAATGGATCTGACTGTTTTATAATGCGCAGGCCTGAAATATATGTCAGCACTGATTATCTTTAAATTGTAAATCTGCCAAACTGCTGCAAGAAATTTGTCTAATTAACAGAAACACACTGCTAAAAGGACCAATTGTTAGAGTGGTTTGGAGACTGCAAGTGAGTTGTACACCTGAAAATGTTTAGGGAAAACTGGAAAATTTCAGCAAGAAAATGTTATTTGCAAGTCTATAAATGTTTTCTGAGTGTGGTGTTCTAACATAATGCTACTATTAATTGGGAATAGAGGTTCATATAATATCTAAGTCTTCATTTTCTGTTGACTTTTTGGATCATCTTTCTATTCCCATTTTATGGGGCTAATTCACTAAGTTCCAAAAGTGAATTAAAGCCATCAGGCGAACGTAGATGTATTAGTTAAAAAGAGAACAGGAAAAATATGAAGTGAACTTTTAAACCCCAGGCTCTTTGACTAGTATCCCAGGTGAAAACATTGAAGGATAATGTCAAAAGAAACGTTAACATTGTCAAATATTCTTTCATTGGGAGGCTATCTTACTGGTGGCTTTGAAGACAAATTTGCATCTAATTAATGTTTTTCATAATTCTGAGCAGAGGCCATTAAAGGTTTGACAAATCTAAGGCATTTTACAAATGACCCTTTTTGACAGAAACACGATGTAGATTAATTAAGATCAAAATAACCAAGGCAAATGAGGTTTAGACTACTAATATTCTAGTATTTCTCCTTTTTCTTTCTTCCCATGAGTACACAGAGGGACACAAACTTTAAAAATGTCAATTTCTAAGACCCCATTCTTCCATCTTGTTGAGTTTGACAGATGACTTCACTGTCTTGTACTGCTAGTTTAATTTAATTGGTGAAACTAAAATTAAGCTTGTCATCTAACCGATTGATATTTACACAGACTTCAGAAGGTAGACTTTATCTAATTATAAAACAGTTTTAGTATATAATTCTTTTAACAATTAAAATTTTCTTAGTAATTAGCAGTAAGAACAAGATAATTATGGATTAATGTTTTTTTTCCCCATTTTATCATGGAAAACGTATTCTTATTGAAAGGATTCTATTTATTGAAATTTTGGAGGGTGAACTAGTTTTGAGGGGGAACTCTCACAAAAGTGCAGATCGTAGCCTAAGACACTGTTACTTAAACATTGTTTTCTTACTGGTATGTCACTGCCAAAGCGAGAATCATTAAGTACTTTGTGTAATAGCATAGAACCTTTTGAGGAAGGTGATCTCAAGCTTGGAAGAGGCTTATATGTGCCTATGCATTCGTATTTCCTTATTATTTTTGTATTTTAAGGTACTGAGAAGAAGAAAATGGTTTTAGTATTTTTTATTAGGTTTTATTCAATACTGTGATGACACTTTCACATTTATTACAAAGTAATTGATCATTTCTTAGTGTACAGCATGACATTATGTGGTAACTCCAAGAGCTTTCCCCCACCAGGTCTAGAGTAACTTGCATTTTTAATGCTACAGCATAACAATGACTTAAAACTCATACTTCTCACTTTTTTAAAAATTATTTTTCAAAACAGTTAATGAAACACAGCAAACAACTTTTCGTATCTTGGTACCTAAAATTCTGCAGCTGTGTATAGTTCTCATCTAGTTATTGTTCAGATATATTTTTAAATTGAAGATGACATGAAATATTTAGTATTTCAAAAGGCTTAATACCTCCTTGTGTATTTTGCAGACAATCCTGAGCTAGTGAGCCATGTTCAAGTTGGTGTTAGAATCCTGGACATCAATGACAACCCTCCAGAGCTTGCCAGAGAGTATGACGTAGTCGTCTGTGAGAATGCAAAGCCTGGTCAGGTAACTCTCACAGTTATCTTTCTCCCAGTGAGAAAGAAGAATTACTTTATTTGTTAATGTCACATACATAAAAAGTTTGATTTGGGGAACACGTCATAATTCTTTCTGATTTCATTTTTGTATTTTACATTTGATTCAGCTGTTTAACAGTATTAGGTTGAAGGGAGAATATTTGGGAATTCGTTCAATGTATCTTTCTTGTTGCTGAAAAAAATTTACCCAAACTATCTTTGGTAAATATCTAAAGGTAAAGCTTTAATCTTGTCAGATAAGTAATGGAATTTGACAAGCCGCTACCCTGAACAAGATGGATGAAGCAGATTTAGTATCTGTTATCTGAGTGCCACATGGTAGCATACAGCTCACTGAAGTGGCTGGTTAACATGGTTGCCATCCTCATTTTTTGCATGTTGATTGACCTTGACCTTGCAGGGTCATATGGAAAAGACGTTGAAGGGGCTTTTCACAACTATGAGCGTGGGGAGGGGCAGAACTGTGACTGAACAGCTAAATCACATTCCAGCCACTGCTGCTGTGATTGATGCACTTCATTGCAGCTCATGGTTTGACAATTTTACTAAGTGCCTTTGTTTTTTTGCATAGATTGAGTTTTTACTTAGCACTCTGTGCTGATTTTGTCTTTATACAGGTTTTAAGTTGCAGTTGTGAACTCATGTCTTTCCTGAGTGGTTTCTGTGGTTTTCATAAACTATTAATAACCATCTTATATGAATCTCTCTAGCTTTTCCCACAACAAACAAAAACTTTTGATAACTGCTACCTCATGCAGCAAGGAATTTTAGTTTAATTACATGTTTCAGGAAGACTTATCTCCTTCTTCGTTGTTTTTTTTCTTTCTTTGTTTTAATCTTCCCATGCTGTCTTCAATCGACATTTACCAGTTCTTGCGTTGGGAGAGCAAGAATGAGAGAGAGACCAGCTGATCCCTATTTATTATCTTTGTGCTATTCATAAATCTTTAACACATTGCCTCTCAGCCATCTCTTGTCCAGACTGAAGAGTCCTTCTTGGACAAGCTGTGATAAAGTTCTTCTAGACTTTTGTTCATTCATCTTGTCATCCTTTAAACTTCCTCCAATTCCTCTCTATTCACCTTGAGATGGGGAATCAAGATTCAAGATGCAGTGGTCTATATTTCTTATCATAGTTTATACTTCATAATATATGATCTCTGCTTTGTTCTCTATTTCTTTGCTAGCAATTTCTAACGGTTGTTTTGCTTTTCAACCACTGGAAAGCATCAAATGCAAAAAACTGCATGCCATAACACCAGTCTCATTGAAAGTAATGATCAGCTCAGAATTCATCATCATGTATGTGAAGTTAATTCTTTATGTCGATGTATAAAGAATTTCACCTGTCTTTGTGTTGCCTGGCTACCAAGTATTGGAAGGTCTTTAGTGTTAGCTCTTCCTTTTTTCTTCCTTGAACAACTCAGTATCATAAATAGGTGGGCTGATTAGTCGTACTCTTTATAAGATGGTCAGTGTAATAATGAACGAGTGGCCCAGCATAAACCTGTGTGGAACAGGAAATCTCTGTGACTTCCTCTATTTGTGCAGTAGACAATTTACAGAAAAGAGTCTATTTCCTGTCTTTTAAGCAATTATTTGTGCAAGGACCTTCCCTCTTATCTTAAGACTGCATAGTTTTCTTAAGTGGTCTTATTGAGACACCTCGCTCAAAGCCTTTGAAAATCTATAGGTATGTCAACTGAATATCTCTTATTAGCATGCTTATTAAAGTAAAAATAATGTTCTGAAAACATCAAATAAAGCCTTAATAGAAGAATTAGAACTTGTAAAAGACTAGTTAAAAAAATAAGATAAAATTTCTTAGTATTAATTGCAGTTGCTTTCAACATATTCTGATATTTTTGAAAATTATATAATTTAACATAATTGTTAAATTATTATAATTAATAATAAGCTAAAGCATGCAGTAAAGCTAGCTCTGAAAGGCACT